CTGACACCTCCTGGTATAGAGGTCCTGGATGGCAGGAAGCTTGGCCCCAGTGATGTACTGGGCCGTACGCACTACCCTCTGTAGTGCCTTGCGGTCAGAGGCCGAGCAATTGCCATACCAGGCTGTGATGCAACCAGTCAGAATGCTCTCGATGGTGCAGCTGTAGAACTTATTTAGGATATGAGGACCCATGCCAAATCTTTTCAGTCTCCTGAGGGGGAATGGACTCTGTCGTGCCCTCTTCAAATCAAATAAAATCAAATCAAATGTTATTGGCCACATGCGCCGAATACAACAGGTGCAGACATTACAGTGAAGGGTGGGTGGAGTCTTTGACAATTTTGAGGGCCTTCCTCTGACACCACCTGGTATAGAGGTCCTGGATGGCAGAAAGCTTGGCCCCAGTGATGTACTGGGCCGTACGCACTACCCTCTGTAGTGCCTTGCGGTCGGAGGCCGAGCAGTTGCCATACCAGGCGGTGATGCAACCAGTCGGGATGCTCTCGATGGTGCAGCTGTAGAATGTTTTGAGGATCTGAGGACCCATGCCAAATCTTTTCAGTCTCCTGAGGGGGAATAGGCTTTGTCGTGCCCTCTTCACGACTGTCTTGGTGTGTTTGGACCATGATAGTTCGTTGGTGATGTGGACACTCTCAACCTGTTCCACTACAGCCCCGTCGATGAGAATGGGGGCGTGCTCAGTCCTCGTTCTTTTCCTGTAGTCCACAATCATCTCCTTTGTCTTGGTCACGTTGAGGGAGAGGTTGTTATCCTGGCACCACACGGCCAGGTCTCTGACCTCCTCCCTATAGGCTGTCTCATCGTTGTCGGTGATCAGGCCTACCACTGTTGTGTCGTCGGCAAACTTAATGATGGTGTTGGAGTCGTGCCTGGCCATGCAGTCATGGGTGAACAGGGAGTACAGGAGGGGAAAGAGCACGCACTCCTGAGGGGCCCCCGTGTTGAGGATCAGTGTGGCAGATGTGTTGTTACCTACCCTTATCACCTGGGGGCGGCCCGTCAGGATGTCCAGGATCCAGTTGCAGAGGGAGGTGTTTAGTCCCAGGATCCTTAGCTTAGTGATGAGCTTTGAGGGCACTATGGTGTTGAATGCTGAGCTGTAGTCAATGAATAGCATTCTCACGTAGGTGTTCCTCTTGTCCAGGTGGGAAAGGGCAGTGTGGAGTGCAATAGAGATTGCATCATCTGTGGATCTGTTGGGGCGGTATGCAAATTGGAGTGGGTCTAGGATTTCTGGGATAATGGTGTTGATGTGAGCCATGACCAGCCTTTCAAAGCACTTCATGGCTACAGACGTCAGTGCTACGGGTCGGTAGTCATTTAGGCAGGTTATCTTAGAGTCCTTGGGCACGGGGACTATGGTGGTCTGTTTGAAACATGTTGGTATTACAGACTCAGTCAGGGACATGTTGAAAATGTCAGTGAAGACACTTGCCAGTTGGTCAGCACATGCTCGGAGTACACGTCCTGGTAATCCGTCTGGCCCTGCGGCCTTGTGAATGTTGACCTGCTTAAAAGTCTTACTCACATCGGCTACGGAGAGCGTGATCACATAGTCATCCGGAACAGCTGGTGCTCTCATGCATGCTTCAGTGTTGCTTGCCTCGAAGCGAGCATAGAAGTGGTTTAGCTCGTCTGGAAGTCTTGTGTCACTGGGCAGCATGCGGCTGTGCTTCCCTTTGTAGTCTGTAATAGTTTTCAAGCCCTGCCACATCCGGCGAGCATCAGAGCCGGTGTAGTACGATTCAATCTTAGTGCTGTATTGACTTTTTGCCTGTGTGATGGTTCGTCGGAGGGCATAGCGGGATTTCTTATAAGCGTCCGGGTTAGAGTCCCGCTCCTTGAAAGCGGCAGCTCTACCCTTTAGCTCAGTGCGGATGTTGCCTGTAATCCATGGCTTCTGGTTGGGGTATGTACGTACGGTCACTGTGGGGACGACATCATCGATGCACTTATTGACGAAGCCAGTGACTGATGTGGTGTACTCCTCAATGCTATCTGAAGAATCCCGGAACATGTTCCAGTCTGTGTTAGCAAAACAGTCCTGTAGCTTAGCATCTGCGTCATCTGACCACTTTTTTATTAACCGAGTCTGGTGCTTCCTGCTTTAGTTTTTGCTTATATGCAGGAATCAGGAGGATAGAGTTATGGTCAGATTTGCCAAATGGAGGGCGAGGGAGAGCTTTGTATGCGTCTCTGTGTGTGGAGTAAAGGTGGTCTAGAGTTTTTTTTTCCTCTGGTTGCACATTTAACATGCTGGTAGAAATGAGGTAGAACGGATGTAAGTTTCCCTGCATTAAAGTCCCCAGCCACTAGGAGCGCCACCTCTGGATGAGCGTTTTCCTGTTGACTTATGGCCTTATACAGCTCATTCAGTGCAATCTTAATGCCAGCATTGGTTTGTGGTGGTAAATAGACAGCTATGAAAAATACTCTCTTGGTAAATTGTGTGGTCTACAGTTTATCATAAGATACTCTACCTCAGGCGAGCAAAACCTTGAGACTTCCTTAGTATTTGATTTTGTGCACCAGCTGTTGTTTACAAATATACATAGACCGCCACCCCTTGTCTTACCGGAGTCAGCCGTTCTATCCTGCCGATGTAGCGTATAGCCCGCTAGCTGTATGTTGTCCATGTCGTCGTTCAACCGCGACTCGTGAAACATAAGATATTACAGTTTTTAATGTCCTGTTGGTAGGATAACCGTAATCTTAGGTCATCCAATTTATTCTCAAATGATTGAACATTGGCTAATAGGATTGATGGAAGAGGCAGTTTACTCGCTCGCCGTCGGATCCTTACAAGGCACCCCGACCTACGTCCACGATATCTCCGTCTCTTTCTCATGCGAATGACGGGGATTTGGGCCTTGTCGGGTGTCTGTCGGATATCCTTCGCGTCTGACTTGTTGAAGAAAAGATCTTTGTCCAATACGAGGTGAGTAATAGCTGTCCTGATATCCAGAAGCTCTTTTTGGTTATAAGAGACGATGGCAGAAACATTATGTACAGACTAAATTACAAATAACGCGTAATATTATTAATACACACATAATATTACAATTGGTTAGAGGGCTGTAAAATGGCAGCCATCTTCTCCGGCGCCATTCTGGTGTTCACGACTGTCTTGGTGTGTTTGGACCATGATAGTTTGTTGGTGATGTGGACACGAAGGAACTTGAAGCTCTCATCCAGTTCCACTACAGCCCCAACCACACTTTATTTTAATCTCTGACCATTTCTTCCCATTTTCGCCTAAAATGACATACCCAAATCTAACTGCCTGTAGCTCTGTACCTGGAGCAAGGATATGCATATTATTGATACCATTCGAAAGGAAACACTTTGACGTTTTTTTAAATTTGAAATTAATGTAGAAGAATATAACACATTAGATCTGGTAAAAGATAATACAAACAATAAAACATAGAACGGCCTTCTTTTTTTATTTTTTTGGTTCCATCATCTTTGAAATGCAAGAGAAAAGCTACAATATAACATTGCAGTTTAGGCGCAATTTAGCTTTTGGCCACTAGATGGCAGCAGTGTGTGCGCAAAGTTTTAGATTGATCCAGTGAAGCATTGCAATACTGGACTATTTTGTATCAAGTCTGCCCAAATGTGCTGAATTGGTCAATTGATACATTTTCAAGTACATAACTATAGAGAACATACAAAAATGATATGGTAATACAAAATGTAAGTTAACACACTCCCAGGAATGTCATACATGATGGATCATTAGCTTATACACTAACTTTCACACATCTAGATGGCCAGGCGGGGTGGGTGTGGAGCCAGAGACACCAAGGGTTCAAACTGTAGAACCCAGTTCCTACATTTGAATATAAAAATGGATTTTATCAAACAAAACTATGCTACATTTGATCTCTGGGACCCTTAGGATGACAAATCAGAGCAAGATTACTGAATGTAAGTACAGTATTTACCTTCAGAGGTGAATGTATCAAACCAGTTGACATGATATGTTTTTTGTTGTTATGCACTCTCCTCAAACAATAGCATGGTATTTTTACACTGTAATAGCTACTGTAAATTGGACAGTGCAGTTAGATTAACAGGAATTTAAGCTTTCCGCCCATATAAGACATGTGTATGTCCTGGAAAGTTGCTGTTACTTACAACAGCCATGCTAATCCCATTAGCGCACGTTAGCTCAACCATCCCGTATACGGGACACCAATCCCGTAGAGATTAAATGTATTATTTTATTATCATATTGGATTACAGTAAAGCAGGTTACCAGTCACAGCAATAGTCCTATCTGTATGTAAGCTAGCCAAAACAAAAGAGCTAGCAAGCAACCACCTTCTGGAATGTGCTTTAATAAATAATATAAGGTATTTGTTAATAGCCAGCTCACCACTTATAAAACATTTTAATATCAAATGTCAGAAAGCTGTTCATAAATACTTTGGCCTATTAATTAATAACTGCGTTCATAAATATTAGTTTAAACACTTATAGTTTATCTCAATGTATGATTAACAAATCGAATAAAAACATTATATCAACAATCCTGAATAAATAAAGGAACATTTTGGAGGGATTTTTTAGAAAGTAGACAAACAAAGACAACAAATACATTGTATAGAATGTACTGGGCACTCTTTATTAAAGCTCTTTCACAGATGTGGTGTGTATGTACAACATGGTGGTAAATTGTGTGTGTGTGTGTGTGTGTGTGTGTGTGTGTGTGCGTGCGTGTGTGTGTGAGTGGCTCTGCCAATATGTTCAGAATGAATACACTGTTTACTGTGCATTTTCCCACCTCAAATCAATCTCACCCCAGAAGATCAGTCCTCCAAAGTCTGATTCAATAATTTTTCATGAAAATGTGTTGAGAGAGTCAGGTACCAGAAGTCCTTTCATTCAACAGATTTCCTCGTTATGTCTAACACTGTCCTCTCCAAAGCCCATCCATCCCATCACAACTTCATCAGGCTGTTCTTCTCTGGTCACCTCGTCCTCGTGCCCCTCACTGGCATATAATACCTCAGTTCCTTCCAGAAGCGTGTGGACAAGGAAAGAGAGGGTGAGGAGAGAGGGGACGAAGCCAGCTTCCCTCTCTTCTCCTCCACCTCCTCCTCTTCTCCCCACCTCCCACACCTCAACCCTCTGCTACTCTTCCACCAGCAGACGGCGCCCTGGCGCTCCCGGAGGTGGCGCACCGACTCGGGGAAGAGGGTCAGCTGTGTGGGGGAGACCTCCTCCAGCTCCACAAGGACCACCTTAAGGGAGCCCTCCAACAGGGCACGGTGCATGGCCGTCTGCCTCTCGAAAATCTGCCAGGCCTCCAGGACACCACTGCTGCTGTCACTGTGGCTTCCACTGCAGAACGTAGAGCCAGAGTAGACCAGGAGGAGACGCCGGCTTGCCAGCATGCTCTCCTCCACTGCATCTACTATGGCTAGAGAGGGAGGAGGGAGGAGAAGAGGGGGAAAGGGAGGAGAGAGGAGGGAGGAGAAGTGGGGGAAAGGGAGGAGGGAGGAGAAGAGGGGGTCAGGGAGCAGGGAAAATTGTTATTAAAACATTGTTCTACCATTGAAATGGTTTCAGAAAGGTTTCACATATTTCATCATCATGCTACTTATGTACTAATGCCAAGGCTAACTTAGTCTTCTGGAACCTGGAGCCTCAGGGTCGAGCTGAGATGTCATACCTTCCCCTGGTAGGCTGTCCCGGCCCAGTATGAACAGCCTGTAGCCACACCTCCCCTCCAGAACCTGGGGCAACATGTGGAGGGCAAACATCTCTGCCTCCCCACAGGCTCCGCCCCCATCCCCAAACAGACGGGGGTATGCCACGTACGCATCATACAACTTCCCATCAGAGTCTGCCACATGCAGGATAGGGACAGGTAAAACAAAATAGATGTGTTAGTGCTGGGCTAGAGCAAAAGCCTCCACAAACCTGCCTAACAGAGGAGGCTTGGTTATTTATGACACCATAGTTGCTTGTGTTTTATGGTTACATGGCCTATTTAGTGCCTTGTATCAAACTTCCTCTCTGTTTCCTCTGAGTCATGGAAAATGCTGTGCTTGCATAGCTGTGGGATGTGCTACAATACATTGCTACACTTGCTACTGATTTTACTTGTGGTCAGGTGGGGAGTGGGAAACAAGTGTTGGATTCTAGCTTGGAATATACTTATTCATGTTACCATATTAGAACCGGGTGTATGGAAAGTTACTGAGTGAGAAAGGGGAGTGCAGAGCTTACATTCTGTTGGAAAATGTTATTCTTAAATCTCATGTACCCTATGGAGAGAGGCAAAGGGCAACAGTCTGGTTTCAGTCACTGCTAAGGTAGGACAGCCGTGGAGTAGGGAGGAGTGAGGAATTCGGCCCGAGGTCAGGTCAGATGAAGTGAGGAGGAACAGTCAGTCCTGTCACACACATACAGTTGAAGTCGGAAGTTTACATACCCCTTAGCCAAATACATTTAAACTCAGTTTTTCACAATTCCTGACATTTAATCCTAGTAAAAATTCCCTGTCTTAGGTCAGTTAGGATCACCACTTTATTTTAAGAATGTGAAATGTCAGAATAATAGTAAAGAGAATGATTTATTCAGCTTTTATTTATTTCATCACATTCCCAGTGGGTCAGAAGTTTACATACACTCAATTCGTATTTGGTAGCATTGCCTTTAAATTGTTTAACTTGGGTCAAACGTTTCGGGTAGCCTTCCACAAGCTTCCCACAATAAGTTGGATGACTTTTGGTCCATTCCTCCTGACAGAGCTGGTGTAAGAGGCCTCCTTGCTCGCACACGCTTTTTCAGTTCTGCCCATAATGTTCTATAGGATTGAGGTCAGGGCTTTGTGGTGGCCACTCCAATTCCTTGACGTTGTTGTCCTTAAGCCATTTTGCCACAACTTTGGAAGTATGCTTGGGGTCATTGTCCATTTGGAAGACCCATTTGCGACCAAGCTTAAACTTCCTGACTGATGTCTTAAGATGTTGCTTCAATACATTCACATAATTTTCCTTCCTCATGATGCTATCTACTTTGTGAAGTGCACCAGTCCCTCCTGCAGCAAAGCACCCTCACAGCATGATGCTGCCACCCCCGTGCTTCACAGTTGGGATGGTGTTCTTCAGCTTGCAAGCCAACTTTAAAGGCACAGTCAACTTAGTGTATGTAGACTTCTGACCCACTGGAATTGCTGTGAATTATATGTGAAATAATCTGTCTGTAAACAATTGTTGGAAAAATTACTTGTGTCATGCACAAAGTAGATGTCCTAACCGACTTGCCAAAACTATAGTTTGTTAAAAAGAAATTTGTGGAGTGGTTGAAAAACAAGTTTTAATAACTGTATGTAAACTTCCAACTTCAACTGTATATTTCCATGCCCATGAAGGTTCTAGCAGGAGGCTACACCAATGAGAGGAACCAAATACGTTCCTGACTAGCAACAGAGATGTATTGGCTGTCTAGATATGCAAGGGGTTGACTCCGCCTAGTAGGAAGGTATAAATATATGTGATTGTGTAAACATCTTTGTCTTTGCAGCTGTATGACCCAGTGGGTGAATAAACTTTGTTTGAGCTTTTTCTAGTTGTCCATTTGAGTTTTTACTCAGTTTGTTCAGAACCTAACACAAGCAATGCAACATGCGTGTGTGTGTGGGTTTAAGTGTGGGCCTGGGGGTTTGTGGGGAGACATGCTGTATGTGCATTTCTGTCTGTATCTGGTGTAGGAATGTATATTTATGTTAGTGCGAGTTTCCATTTCGTGAAAGCACAGTATGCAATGAGTCTGCAGATAGTGTGTGTGTGTGCATGAGTGTGTGCATGTCTGCGTGTGCGCGCTCAGGCATGTTTCTATTAATGTTTCCATGAGTGTGCTTGCGCAGTATATGTGCGGTAAAGTGTCTCTCATTGCGTACCTGTGTTTGTGTAGAGAAGCGGGAACATCCTCCTGAGCGACAGCACTGGTCAGTAGTACCCCAATAGGGAGCAGGTAGTTTGGATCTGTGCAGAAAAAGAGAGAAGATAGCATTTATAACAGTTTTTTCAAAAGTGGTGAGGTTGCAGTTGTTATAAAACACTATCAAAACAAGGGTAAAGGGACAGGATAATATGTGTGTGATCTCTTTTGAAACACCTTTATGTTATCCTCCAGACAGTATTGTCTAACCTGTAGGCTGTAGTATGAAGAAGGCTAAAGAAATGCCTCTTTCACTGGAAACCAAACACGTGTAGTTGATGTAAAAGTCTTCCTCTTCCACCATCAAGAAATTCAAATGACGCTCCAACCATACACCCTCCTCCTCTTCTTCTCTCCACTCCCTGCTCTGGGGGGGAGACAGACAAGTTCCCCCTTGTGAACGCACAATCAAACCATCATGGCAACAGTTAACATAACATACACTGTTATTGGCGCCTGAGGGGATGGGTGCCGTTTTACAGGCTCCTAACCAACTGTGCTATTTTGTGTGGTTTTTTCCATTGTTTGTAACCTTTTTTGTACATAATGTTGCTGCTACCGTCTCTTATGACCGAAAATAGTTTCTGGATATCAGAACAGTGATTATTCACCTCGAACTGCACAAAGATTTTTTTATTTAATGAGTCTTACAGAAGGGATATACTGTTTCTCCGAGACCAGGCCCAAATCCCGTCATTCGTGTGAAGAAAAGACAGAGGTACAGGGGGCGGAGATCGGGTGCCTTGTGAGAATTATTCGGCGAGTGGGGAACCCGCCTCTACCTTCCGTTCTATTGGCCAACGTGCAATCACTGGAGAATAAACTGGATGAGCTCCGTTCTAGACTATCCTACCAACGGGACATTAATAACTGTAATAGCTTATGTTTCACCAAGTCGTGGCTGAACGACGACACGGATAATATACAGTTGGCTGGATTTCCGTGCATCGGCAGGACAGAAGCGGCGCTCCTAGTGGCCAGGAACTTTAATGCAGGCAAACTTAAATCCATTTTACCTCATTTCTACCAGCATATCACATCTGCAACCAGAGGGAAAAAAAACCCTAGACCACATTTACTCCACACACAGTGACGCATACAAAGCTCTCCTTCGCCCTCCATTTGGCAAATCTGACCATAATTCTATCCTGCTGATTCCTGCTTTCAAGCAAAAACTAAAGCAGGAAGCACCAGTGACTCTGTCAATAAAAAAGTGGTCAGATGAAGCAGATGCTAAGCTACAGGACTATTTTGCTAGCACAGACTGGAATGTCTTCCGGGATTCTTCCGATGGCATTGAGGAGTACACCACATCAGTCACTGGCTGTCACTGTTTTGCTAGCACAGACTGGAAGAAATCCCGCTATGCCATCAGACTAACCATCAAACAGGCAAAGCGTCAATACAGGACTAGGATTGAATCCTACTACACCGGCTCTGATACTCGTCAGATGTGGCAGGGCTTGCAAACTATTACGGATTACAAAGGGAAACCCAGCAGCGAGCTGCCCAGTGACGCGAGCCTATTAGATGGGCTAAATGCCTTTTATTCTCGCTTCGGGGCAAGCAACACTGAAGCATGCATGAGAGCACCAGCTGTTCCAGACGACTGTGTGATCACGCTCTCCGTAGCCTTTAAACAGGTCAACATTCACAAGGCCGCGGGGCCAGACGGATTACCAGGACGTGTACTCAGATCCTGCATGGACAAACTGGCAAGTGTCTTCACTGACATTTTCAACCTTTCCCTGAGCAAGTCTGTAACACCTACATGTTTCAAGCAGGCCACCATAGTCCCTGTGCCCAGAAAAGCGAAGGTAACCTGCCTAAATGACTACCGTCCCGTAGCACGTCGGTAGCCATGAAGTTCTTTGAAAGGCTGGTCATGGCTCACATCAACACCATCATCCCGGAAACCCTAGACCCACTCCAATTTGCATACCGCCCCCATGGATCAACAGATGACGCAATCTCAATCGCACTCCACACTGCCCTTTCCCACCTGGACAAAAGGAACACCTATGTGAGAATGCTGTTCATTGACTACAGTTCAGCGTTCAACACCATAGTGCCTACAAAGTTCATCACTAAGCTAAGGACCCTGGGACTAAACACCTCCCTCTGCAACTGGATCTTGGACTTCCTGACGGGCCGCCCCCAGGTGGTAAGGGTAGGCAACAACACATCTGCCAAGCTGATCCTCAACACTGGGGCCCCTCAGGGGTGCATGCTTAGTCCCCTCCTGTACTCCCTGTTCACCCATGACTGCGTGGCCAAGCACGACTCCAACACCATCATTAAGTTTGCTGACGACACAACAGTGGTAGGCCTGATCACCGACAACGATGAGACAGCCTAAAGGGAGGAGGTCAGAGACCTGGCAGTGTGGTGCCAGGACAACAACCTCTCCCTCAACGTGATCAAGACAAAGGAGCTATCGTGGACTACAGGAAAAGGAGGGCCAAACACGCTCCTATTCACATCGACAGGGCTGTAGTGGAGCTGGTCGAGAGTTTCAAGTTCCTTTGTGTCAACATTAATCAAATGGCCACCTGGACTATCTACATTGACACCCCGCCCTCCCTTTGTTTTTACACTGCTGCTACTCGCTGTTTATTATCTATGCATAGTCACTTTACCCCTACCTACATGTACAAATTACTTCGACTAACCTGTACCCCCGCTGATTGACCTGGTACTGGTACACCCTGTATTTAGCCTCGTTATTGTTATTTTATTGTTACTTTTTATTTGATTTTTTACTTTATTTTATTTAGTAAATATTTTCTTAACTCTATTTCTTGAACTGCATTGTTGGTTAAGGGCTTGTAAGTAAGCATTTCACGGTAAGGTCTACACCTGTTGTATTCGACGCATGTGACAAATAAAATGTGATTTGATTTGATTTTGTGAAGTTCCAAAGTTTCAAAGCAAGCACTATGTATTAAGGTATATGGAGCCTATCTTAATCTCAGTGGTATACCTGATACGATACCAACAGTTTAGATACTATACAGTAGAACATCCATCTGGATGACACAGAATACAGGCATATACAGTGCCGTGAAAAAGTATTTTCTCCTTTCTGATTTTCTCTATTTTTGCATATTTTTTATACTGAATGTTATCAGATCTTCAACCAAAACCTAATATTAGATAAAGGAACCTGAGTGTACAAATAACAAACCCAAAAATTATACTTATTTTATTTATTTAATTAACAAAGTTATGCAAGTGTGAAAAAGTAACTGCCCCCTTACACTCAATAACTGGTTGTGCCACCTTTAGCTGCAATGACTGCAACCAAATGCTTCCTGTAGTTGTTGATCAGTCTCTCACATCACTGTGGAGGAATTTGGCCCACTCTTGCATGCAACATTTTTGGGTTTTCAAGCATGAACTGCTAGTTTCAAGTCCTACCACAACATCTCAATTGGAATTAGGTCTGGACTTTGACTAGTAAATTACAAAACTTCAAATGTGTTGCTTTTTAACCATTTTCAAGTAAACTTGAATATGTGTTTTGGATCATTGTCTTGCTGCATGACCCAGCTGTGCTTCAGCTTCAGCTCACAGACAGATGGCCTTACATTCTCCTGTAGAACGTAATGGGACCCATGTCGTCCAAAAAGTTATACTTTTGACTCATCTGTCCATAGAACATTCTTCAAAGAGTCTTGATGATTCAGGTGCTTTTTGGCAAACTTGAGTCAACTTTTTGGATGAGATGGGTCCCATTATGTCTGGCGAAAAGCAAACACTGCATTACACAGTAAGAACCTCATACTGTAAGTCAAGCATGGTGGTGGTATTGTGATGGTTTGGGGATGCTTTGCTGCCTCAGGACCTGGACGACTTGACTTAATAGAAGGAACCATGAATTCTGCTCTGTATCAGAGAATTCTACAGGAGAATGTCATGCCATCCGTCTGTGAGCTGAAGCTGAAGCGCAGCTGGGTCATGCAGCAAGACAATGATCCAAAACACACTTATCTCCCTCACTAACTTTAAGCATCAGTTGTCAGAGCACCTTACCGATCACTGCACCTGTACACAACCCATCTGAAATTAGCCCGCCCAACTACCTCATCCCTATATTGTTATTTATTTTGCTCATTTGTACCCCAGTATCTCTATTTGCACATCATCTCTTGCACATCTATCATTCCAGTGTTAATACTAATTGTAATTATTTTGCACTATAGCCTATTTATTGCCTTACCTCCATAACTTGCTACATTTGCACACACTGTATATGTATTTATTTCTGTTGTATTTTTGACTTTGTTTTGTTTTACCCCATATGTAACTCTGTGTTGTTGTTTTTATCGCACTGCTTTGCTTTATCTTGGCCAGGTCGCAGTTGTAAATGAGAACTTGTTCTCAACTGGTTTACCTGGTTAAATAAAGGTGAAAAAAAAACACAATCAAGTCTACATGAAAATGGTTAAAAAGCAACACATTTGTAGAATTCTTACAGTGTGTATTGCGATACTGTTGTGTTGTCTCAACCTACCTTTGTGATTCCTGAAAGATGCGCTCTGAGACAATTTTGGAAATGGAGTTATTGCTAGCTTTCCAATTCAAATCCGTGCAACATTTATTCCCCACACTCGGCACAAACACCCGACACATCTTACTGAAGGAAGAACCTAGGGGGCAAACATTGAATTCTTTATTTGGATCATGAATGAAAATAAATAATAAACTCACGCACGCACGCACGCACGCGCACACACACACACACACACACACACACACACAAACACACACACAAACACACACACAAACACACACACACGTTCTCTAGTGGTTTACTCACCCAGATCTGCTTTGATGATCTCATTGGCAGGTTCAACCACTTTGGGCTCCAGGCAATACTGCACTGAAATTATGACAATGATTCATAAACATCATAGAAAGACACAGAAATATTCAGTCACCTGACCCTATAGAAAACAACCCTTTCTAAGCTCTCAAAGAGCAAAGTTTCAAAGCAGCCTCTATGAACTCATAACCTCTGATTCAGGGTCATATACGGTGCCTTCAGAAAGTATTCACACACCTTGACTTTTTCCACGTTTTGTTGTGTTACAGCTTGAATTTGAAATTGATGCAATTTAGATTTTTGTATCAATGGCCTACACACAATACCCCATAATGTCAAAGTGGAATGTTTTTAGAAATGTTTACAAATTAATTAAAAATGATGAAATGTCTTGAGTCAAGAAGTATTCAATGCCTTAGTAATGGCAGGCCTAAACAAGTTCAGGAGTAAAATGTTGCTTACAGTTTTTCTCAGTCGCTTTGGTGCATTTCTTAGATCAAAAGTGCAATTCTTGATACTACTTGTACAAATTCCAAATCATCTAGTCACTTGTGCACATCATTAAAGCAATTTCTTATTCCTTTGAACAAATTGCAATTGCTTTTGTACATATTGCAATTGATAATGTACAAGTGTCAGCTTTTTTCCACATTTTCAATTGCTCATGTCATGTTGATCAAAATATAGTAGATGGTTCTCTGTTGAATAGTCTTACCCCTCAAAACATCTAGGCATTAGTTCCTTGCATAAGCCATTACATGCAAAATTGTTGAACTATTTGTCATAAACTGTCAAGCATAGTTTTACACATTTCTATTAGACCTTTTGTACAAAAACGTAAATTGCTGAATCGTGCAGGTGAAATTAACCCTCACTCATGAAGGAATGTAAAGTGTTAGTTCAACCAACAATCAACCAGTTGTCTAAATTGCTCAAAGGTGCATCTCATGAAGAATCAATTGGCAAGCATATATAGACAGACCACAACACAGAGTTGCAATTTTCCAATAATGGATGGACCAGGAAACGAACAGGGTCAACAGCCAAGAGGAGGAAGAAGAGGAGCAAGGATGCGTGGTGGAAGGCAAAACAGAGGAAGAGGCAGAAGAGGACATAGGCGCATATCTGATGACATAAGGGCCACTATTGTAGACCATGTTGTCAATCATGGCCTTACAATGGCTGAGGCGGGTCGAAGGGTGCAGCCGAATATTGGGAGATCAACCGTGTCCTCAATAGTACAAACGTTTCGAAGAGAGAACAGGTATGTCCACCAATGTACAGTGCACTGTTACTGTATATAAGCAGTATACTGTATACTTCCTACAATGCTTCATATTACAGTAGTCCACTTGTATTTCACAGCATACAGAAATATACTCTATACAGATACATACTGCACCTTACATGCACCCACCTGTATGTTTTACAGTAAAATGTGTGTTCGCATAGTTTTTGTCTATGTGAAAGTGTGCGATGCATCACTGCATTTTTCCACACATAGGACTGCAAGATTACCTCAAACCGGTGGCAGAGGACGCCTTTTCACACCTCAACAGGAGGAGGCTATTTTCACCATGGTCCGAGCAAACAATGCCATGAGACTCAGGGAAATACAAAGGACCATTATAGAAGACAACGATGTCTTTGAAAACATCCATACGGTTAGCATCTCAACCATCGACAGGGTGCTGCATAGAAACCAGATGAGTATGAAACAGCTGTACCGTGTACCATTCCAAAGGAATGAGGACAGAGTTAAGGAGCTACGGTACCAGTATGTACAGGTAAAACATATATCTATGTAACTACTTTACAGCAACATTTTATAGTGTTACATAGTACAGTAAGCATAAACTGCACACATTTCCATTGCTGTGGAAGGAACATGCAATATATGTACATTTTATGTCACTCTTCCTTACCAAAACAAATTCAACTGTGTGTTCTGGGATATAGCGTATAATGAAGTTGGAATCAAGTGAACCCTCTCACAACTTTGTATACGTGGATGAGGCTGGCTTCAAACTGACCAAATGCAGAAGGCGGGGTCGGAATATCATCGGTCACAGAGCTACTGTGGATTTGCCAGGCCAACGGGGAGGAAATATCACCATGTGTGCTGCTATTTCGGAGCATGGTGTCCTAACCCATATCCCCCTTTTAGGGCCATACAACACCCAGCATCTACTCAACTTTTTAGAGACTCTCTACAGGGCTCTCATCCCTGATGATGAGAGGGGTCTGTTTAGAGAGGATTTGCCAAAGTATGTGGTCATTTGTGATAATGTGAGTTTCCATCGATCAAACATCATAAGGCAATGGTTTGTGACCCACCCGAGGATGCTCATAGAATTCCTCCCACCTTATTCACCATTCCTTAACCCAATTGAGGAGTTCTTTTCAGCATGGAGGTGGAAGGTGTACGATCGTCAGCCACACACACAGATGACCCTGCTGGCTGCAATGGATGCAGCATGTGAGGACACCACAGTAGACGCCTGCAGAGGATGGATAAGGCATTCCAAAAGATTCTTTCCACGTTGCATTGGAAGGGAAAATATCCGGTGTGATGTGGATGAGAATATGTGGGCTGACAGACAGGAACGTCTGGATGTGTAGAGACAGCACTAGAACAGTGCTGTGGGCAAAGTTGTGCCTTAGGGGTGGTTTCCTGTGTTTCTTTCTAATTTAGTTTTTTTTCCTTTGTGCCCCTTGGGTTGTCCAGTCTCTTTCAATCAATAACCCACATACAGTAATATGTAAATAGTACTGTTGAAATTGATATATGCCATAGAAGTGCAGCCTTGTGCATTTTCAATACAGTAACTGTCATCCAAACTGTAGCCTAAGTTTACATCAGGTAATACTGTCAAAGTACACAGTTCCATTGACAACATGCCTAAACATTTTGACAACCTTGTTCGTGAACAATGACTCAATGACTTATCATTCTGATGACACTGACATGATCATTGGCATGAATATTTACTTTTGAGAGATGTACTAAGGATTTTTAGTGACTGACTAGCTTTAGAAACATATCTATTGTATATTGCAGTTTGTACAAATTGTTCTGAGAAATGCACTTATTATTTTGCACATGTTAGGGATGATGTGAAAAATGCACCAAAGCGACTGAGAAAAACTGTAACAAGTCACATTATAAGTTGCATGGACTCACTCTGTGTCACGCCCTGGCTCTAGGGACTCTTTTATGTTGAGCCAGGGTGTGTAGAGTCTATGTTTTGTGTTCATTGTTTCAGTATCTAGTTCATGTGTTTCTGTGTTGGCCGGGGTGGTTCTCAATCAGAGGCAACGAGAATCAGCTGTTGCTTGTTGTCTCTGATTGGGACCCATACTTAGGCAGACGTTTGGCAGTTGTGTTTTGTGGGATCTTGTTCCGTGTTGGTTTGTGTTTGTTACCAAGGACTTCACGTATCGTTTTGTTGTTTTTGTTCGTGTGGTGAATATAAATAAAGTATGATTGCCTTCCACGCTGCGCCTTGGTCCGCTCCTTTTGACGATCGTGACAGAAAATCCCACCATAACAGGACCAAGCAGCGTGTCCAGGAGCAGACAGCCTGGACTTGGGAGGAGATATTGGACGGGAAAGGGTCCTGGACTTGGGAGGAGATCCAGGCCGGTATGGATCGCCGTCCGTGGGAGGAGACGGTGGAGGCGCGCCGTAGAGAGTAGCAGCGGCGCCAACCGGGCCGACGTCGGACACGCAAGAGGCAACCCCAATACATTTTTAGGGGGGGGCACACGGCATGGACAACGGAGCTGCTGGAGGCAGCTACAGGGCGAGGTTGGGGATTAGGAGAGTAGGCCACCGGGTTTGGGGGGCCGGAAGGGAGGTTGGCGGAGCCTAGAGGTAGAGCAGAGCCAACTCCCCGTACTCAGGCTAGGCAGCGTGAGACTGGGCAGGTTCCGAGATATGCGGAGCTGCGTACAGTCCGGTACGTCCTGTGCGAGCACCACGCACGTGTCGTGCTAAGGTGGGCATGCAGCCAGGACGGAGTGTGCCGGCTCAACGCTCGTGGCCTCCAGTACCACTCCTCGGTCCCGGATATCCTGCGCCAGTGTCACGTGCTGTTGTGCCAGTACGTGTACACAGCCCTGTACGTCCTGTGCTGATGCCTCACACAGAGTGTGTTAAGATAGGCATTCAGCCAGGACGGGTTGTGTCAGCTCTTCGTTCCAGACCTCCAGTCCGTCTCCACAGCCCGGTCCGGCCTGTTCCTGCCCCTCGTACCAAGACTGTGGTGCGTGTCGCCAGCCCGGCCCGGCCCATTCCTGCTCCCCGCACCAAGTCAGTGGTGCGCGTCGTCAGCCCGGCCCGGCCCGTTCCTGCTCCCCGCACCAAGCCAATGGTGCGCGTTGCCAGCCCGGCCCGGCCTGTTCCTGCCCCTCGCACTAAGCCTATGGTGCGCGTCGCCAGCCCGGTCCGACCTGTTCCTGCTCCCCGCACCAAGCCTATGGTGCGCGTCGCCAGCCCGGCCCGGCCCATTCCTGCTCCCCGCACCAAGTCAGTGGTGCGCTTCGTCAGCCCGGCCCGGCCCGTTCCTGCTCCCCGCACCAAGCCAGGGGTGCGCGTCTTCAGCCCGGTCCGGCCCGTTCCTGCTCCCCGCACCAAGTCAGGGGGGGGGGGGGGGGTACTGTCACGCCCTGGCTCTAGGGACTCTTTTATGTTGAGCCAGGGTGTGTAGAGTCTATGTTTTGTGTTCATTATTTCAGTATCTAGTTCATGTGTTTCTGTGATGGCCGGGGTGGTTCTCAATCAGAGGCAACGAGAATCAGCTGTTGCTTGTTGTCTCTGATTGGGACCCATACTTAGGCAGACGTTTGGCAGTTGTGTTTTGTGGGATCTTGTTCCGTGTTGGTTTGTGTTTGTTACCAAGGACTTCACGTATCGTTTTGTTGTTTTTGTTCGTGTGGTGAATATAAATAAAGTATGTTCGCATTCCACGCTGCACCTTGGTCCGCTCCTTTTGACGATCGTGACACTCTGTGTGCAATAACAGTGTTTCAAATGATTTTTGAATGACTACCTCATGTCTGTACCCCACACATACAGTACAATTATATGTAAGGTCCCTAAGTCAAGCAGTGAATTTCAAACACAGATTCAACAACGAAGACCAGGGAGGAAAACCTGGTTCCGTCTGCTTTCCACCAGGTACTGGGAGATGAATTCACCATTCAGCAGGTCAATAACCTTAAACACAAGGCCAAATCTACACTGAAGTTGCTTACGAAGAATACAGTGAATGTTCCTGAGTGGCCGAGTTACAGTTTAGACTTAAATCTGCTTGAAAATCTATGGCAAGACCTGAAAATGGTTGTCTAGCAATGATCAACAACCAACTTGACAGACCTTGAAGAATTTTGAAAAGAATAATGGGGAAATGTTGCACAATCCAGGTGTGGAAAGCTCTTAGACACTTACCCAGAAATACTCACAGCTGTAATCTCTGCCAAAGGTGATTCTAACATATATTGACTCAGGGAGTTGAATACTTATGTAATCAGATATATTAGTGTTCTATTTTTCTATTTTTTTCTTTTTTTAATGTTAGACTTTTTCTTACACTTTGACATTACAGGGTATTTTGTGTAGATTGTTAACAAAAAATGACTATTAAATCCCTTTTAATCCCACTATGTAACACAACAAGATGTGGAGAAAGTCAACGGGTGTGAATACTTTCTGAAGGCACTGTATCTCTGTAATGGCTGTGGTAAGGATTGGGGGTATATGGTAATAATCTGTGGTTAGGGACAACCTTTATGAGCTGTGCCAACAAAACTCACCGTCCACCATACCGTTGATGGTCTCTGAGATCCTGCCGCTGAGCCCTTCCAAGTTAAAGGTCATGGTGCAGGTGTAGAACGCATGGTCCTCAGGAATGACCGCTTCTTCTCGGAGTAACTCCGTAACACTGTTATTGACATAGCTAAACCTGTTCCACAATGGGTCATCTTTCACAATGGGTTCACAGCCCTGAAAGGTTTAAAGTAGAAATCCACACTGAAAGGTAGTGGTAATGGAATGGAATATCATAGTAATGGAATATGGCTAATAAAACAAAATGAATACACAATTACAGATAAGTTGTGATAATGTCTTACCTTAGAATACCTACTCTCAGAACTATTCAATGCAGTACAATGTGTGAGAGCAATGAACAATGTCAAGAGTATATACCGTATCTGATGGAACATTGTTCAAATGTAGTCACTAGTAGTAATAACCCCACATTCCTATAGTTTTAAACACAAATTAAGAATACATAGAGACAGACTGAATGACTGAAAAGAAAGAGTTCAAACAGGCTTTCCAGCACTGTCAGGCAGGGGCAGACTGGGACCAGAAATCCGCCATGGCATTTCTGACACACCAGACCATTTTTCCCTTGAGGACCCGACATTGGCCCATTTTCTTTCCTTGAGGCCCCCAAAAGGCCCATTTTTGTCACTGTGGACCCCGTTATTACATTTAAATTTTTTACATTTTAGTCATTTAGCAGATGCTCTTATCCAGAGTGACTTACAGTTAGTGAGTGCATACATTTTCATACTGGCCCCCCGTGGGAAACGAACCCACAACCCTGGCGTTGCAAGCGCCATGCTCTACCAACTGAGCTACAGGGGACTACATCATGTCCAAATGTATCTCAAATTGATTTGAACATGATTACATTTTACGTTTTAGTCATTTAGCAGACGCTCTTATCCAGAGCGACTTACAGTTAGTGAGTGCATAAATGTTTCATACTGATGCGCGACAAATGCCAATATCGGTCAAATGACTTGAATGAGATTTGTGCCACAAATGCCAAAATGCTTCCATGTGACAACAGTGCAAGGGAAACCAAACCAAAGCACGTTGTTGTTATACCTTGTCCATAGACTGGCCTACAGGGTAAGGAAACCAATGTCATTGTAATTTGGGTGAACTTTGGGTGAACTAATTTGGTTATTAGCCAGATAATTATAATTATGTAAAAATAATGTAAATAAATGACAATCCCATTGGGCTAAATATGTACCAGCCCATCCGGCATGGCCAGTCCACCCCTGCTGTCAGGCGTTCCCTCTCAACACTCTCCCATTGCACTGCACTGTCTGTTTACCCCATAGGACTCACCTTGTACCACTGAATGGAGTAATTGTCCACTTCCCTGATATGGTCACTCAATGGGCAGTTCAGAAAACCGGTGGCTTTGTTGGTCAGGACCTGGTGGGCCTTTTCTGGTCGACCGCATTCTTCTGGGTTGGTGTGGTTCACAATCAGTAAGGCCGGTTTCTTATAGCACTGGGAGGGTAGTCTGTTTATCAAAGGTAACAGAAAAGATTTACAGCACACACACACACACACACACACACACACACACACACACACACACACACACACACACACACACACACACAGCAGACAAAAGTATTGCCCCTACCTCACAACACACTCATAGTTTCCAGCATCCTCCATCGCGATGTTAAAAATCCACAGTGTCTTTCCCCGCGGCAGAGTCTTTCTTGTCTCCCTGGTCAGCTCTCTCCCAGTCCTTGGGTCATACCATGAGATGTTATAGGGGATGCTGCGGTAGTCAGACATATTGAGGTCCACCAGGGTGGATGTTAACATGGCAGCATCACCGGAAACTGAAAACACCCGCTCAACCTCTCGTCCTTTGTCCTCACAGAGATCTGCACACAAAGAGTATATAAAGTAAAGTAAAGACAAACATGCGGCACAGGGACTGTTTGCGGACCACCATCTTTTTTATTGAGGCCACCTCTTAAAGAAAAACACGTTGGAGAAATGATGCACGGCAAAGAAATTATGCAATTATTACGCGTGTCATGTAGTATGCATAGACAGAGTTTTTACAGAGATGGTCCATTCAAAATATATCTCTTCACAACAAATTCTCCACAAAAAATTAATTAAATAAAAGAACACTGATGGTGTTAAATCAATACTGAAAGTGTTGAGTCTGTGGACCCATATAGACACCAGAACAGTGTTAAATTAACACACTGATTAGTGTAAAGCCTTTTTCAAATATTCCCACAGTGCCTTGCCTTTCAAGCAAATTGTAGAGTTACCACCATTGTATTTGTTAGTGACAGAGAGATGGTTGTTGCATTCATCCATTTTTGGTCCTACGGACTTCGAAAAGTGAGATCCTAAGTGAATATGTTGTCATAAAAAAAATATATATATTTAACACTATGCCATACAGTGCATTCGGAAAGTATTCAGACCCCTTCACTTGTTCCACATTTTGTTACGTTACAGCCTTAAATAAATGTGTTTTTTTCCTTATCAATCTACACAAAATACCCCATATTGACAAAGCAAAAACAGGTTTTACATTTTTTTTGCAAATCAATTAAAAACTGAAATACCACATTTACATAAATATTCAGACCCTTTACTCAGTACTTTGTTGAAGCACCTTTGGCAGCGATTACAGCCTCGAGTCTTCTTGGGTATGGCGCCACAAGCTTGGCACACCTGTATTTGGGGAGTTTCTCCCATTCTTCTCTGCAGATCTTCTCAAGCTCTGTAAGGTTGAATGGGGAGCATCACTGCAAAGATATTTTCAAGTCTCTCCAGAGATGTTCGATCGGGTTCATGTCCGGGCTCTAGCTGGGCCACTCAAGAACATTCAGAGGCCTGTCCCGAAGCCACTCCTGCGTTGTTTTGGCTGTGTGCTTAGGGTCGTTGTCCTGTTGGAAGGTGAACCTTCGCCCCAGTCTGAGGTCCTGAGCGCTCTGGAGCAGGTTTTCATCAAGGATCTCTCTGTACTTTGCTCCGTTCACCTTTCCTTCGATCCTGACTAGTCTATAAGTCCCTGCCGCCTAAAAACATCCCCACATCAAGATGCTGCCACCACCATGCTTCACCGTAGGGATGGTATTGGCCAGGTGATGAGTGTTGCCTGGTTTCCTCCAGACGGGACGCTTGGCATTCAGGCCAAAGAGTTCAATCTTGGTTTCATTAGACCTGAGAATCTTGTTTCTCATGGTCTGAGAGTCCTTAGGTGCCTTTTGGCAAACTCCAAGCGGGCTGTCATGTGCCTTTTACTGAGGAGTGGCTTCCGTCTGGCCACTCTACCATAAAGGCCTGATTGGTGGAGTGCTGCAGAAATGGTTGTCCTTCTGGAAGGTTCTCCCATCTCCATAGAGGACCTCTGGAGCTCTGTCAGAGTGACCATCAGGTTCTTGGTCACCTCCCTAACCAAGAACTTTCTCCCCCGATTGCTCAGTTTGGCAAGGCTGCAAGCTCTGGTAAGAGTATTGGTGGTTCCAAACGTCTTCCATTTAAGAATGATGGAGGCCACTGTGTTCTTGGGGACCTTCAACGCTGCAGAAAGGTTTTGGTACCCTTCTCCATATCTGTGCCTCGACACAATCCTTTCTTGGAGCTCAACGGACAATTCCTTTGACCTCATGGCTTGGTTTTTGCCCTGACATGCACTGTCAACTGTGGGACAGGCGTGTGCCTTTCCAAATCATGTCCAATCAATTGAATTTACCACAGGTGGACTCCAATCAAGTTGTAGAAACATCTCAAGGATGATCAATGGAAACAGCATGCACCTGAGCTCAATTTCGAGTCTCATAGCAAAGGGTCTGAATATTTATGTAAATACTTGTTTATTTTTTTTGAGTAAACATTTCTAAAAACCTGTTTTCGCTTTGTCATTATGGGGTATTGTGTGTGGATTGATGAGGAAAAATGTGCATTTAATCAATTTTAGAATAAGGCTGTAACGTAACAAAATGTGGAAAAGGTGAAGGGGTCTGAATAGTTTCCGAGTGCACTGTATTTATTTCATAAGGCTTTATTTTGTGGGCATAGTTTTAACCTAATAAAGGAGCCTGAAACTCATACACGTCACTTTGAACTAAAACCATGCCCATCATTATTATATTTCCCAGCTTGCTCTATCGCAGGATGATTGTTTTTAGAATTGTTTGTTTCAATATCTATATTTGTGCAGGTGCATTGATTGATTGATTAATCTTATGCTACACAAAGACAAATAAGTGTTTGTATCCCTTTAGTCACAAATGTAAACCTTTTATTCTGAGAGTGTAACACAAGGGCCTGAAACCCATGGTTTACACGCCATATCAGGCCTGCAAGTCACATTATGCTAGCTTGCAAGGTGATATGTAATTCCTATTGGAATCCAATCAGTGGGTGGAGATCCAACAGTTGGAATAATTATTTACCTGAAACCTGCATTCAGAATGACTGCCTGTCTTTTTCAACTTCCTGATTTGAACTAACTGATTGGATTAGTTTAGAAAAATGTATGTCATTTATCTTTGTGTAGCATAAGATTAATCAGTCAATCAATGTACGTGCACAAACATAGATATTTTAACAAACAATTCTGAAATATCAACCTGCAATAGAGCATGCTGGGAAATATGATAATAATGACGTGGTTTTGGTTCAAAGTGATATGTATGAGTTTCAGGCCCCTATAAAAGGGTAAAACTTGGCCCCCAAAATGACGTGTGGTATTGTGTTAAACATATATATTTTTAATGATAACATTCACTTAGGATCTCACCTAATACTGGGTGAAGTCCATAGGACCGAAAATGGATGAATACATCAACCATGTCTCTGTCAATAACATATATAGTCATTGGTGATAACTCTACAATTTACTCAAAAGGCAAGGCACTCTGGGAAATATTTGAATAAGGCTTTACACTAATCTGTAAATTAATTTAACACTGTTCCGGTGTTTATATGGGGTCCATAGACAACACTTTCAGTGTTGATTTAAAGGTCATGAATAGTTAAAATGTTGTTTTTCATGAAATGTGATGATATTTGAAGGAAACCAGATCAAAGTATGATGACTAAAGTATGATAAGTTATACATTGATAAAGTTTGATCATAAAGTTACTGGTCCCCTCCCCCATGTCAAATACTTGGATTCATTATTTAGGGGACAACGTGACATCACCTTAACTCTCATTTTAATACACCACTGGTACTGTAACATGATATTCTCTTACCTAATTTAAATAAGTACCGCCTTTTAACCAACATCGGAGAAGACATGTTTGCAGAGGGGCATGGTTTATACAGCTGGATAGCTACTCTACTGGCGCCAAAATGTGACTGAATGGTGTCAGCAAATATAATTACAAGTTTACCCTATCAATCTATGGCAAATATTCTTATATGTTTCCCATTTCATCTGTGTCTGGTGTTAGCTAGATACTGGCTAGAGAGGTCTTCATCCAGCATGGAACAAAAGGGGGGGAAGGGTCATTCAAAACTCTGACTCAGTTGTCATGTCAACACATCCGTCAGTGCTGCTGTGAAACACATCACAAAAGACATGCCAAACGGGAGATGTATATATATATATACACTGCTCAAAAAAATAAAGGGAACACTAAAATAACACACCCTAGATCTGAATGAATGAAATAATCGTATTAAATACTTTTTTCTTTACATAGTTGAATGTGCTGACAACAAAAGCACACAAAAATTATCAATGGAAATCAAATTTATCAACCCATGGAGGTCTGTATTTAGAGTCACCCTCAAAATTAAAGTGGAAAACCACACTACAGGCTGATCTAACTTTGATGTAATGTCCTTAAAACAAGTCAAAATGAGGCTCAGTAGTGTGTGTGGCCTCCACATGCCTGTATGTCCTCCCTACAACGCCTGGGCATGCTCCTGATGAGGTGGCGGATGGTCTCCTGAGGGATCTCCTCCCAGACCTGGACTAAAGCATCCGCCAACTCCTGGACAGTCTGTGGTGCAATGTGGCGTTGGTGGATGGAGCGAGACATTATGTCCCAGATGTGCTCAATTGGATTCAGGTCTGGGGAACAGGCGGGCCAGTCCATAGCATCAATGCCTTCCTCTTGCAGGAACTGCTGACACACTCCAGCCACATGAGGTCTAGCATTGTCTTGCATTAGGAGGAACCCAGGGCCAACCGCACCAGCATATGGTCTCACAAGGGGTCTGAGGATCTCATCTCGGTACCTAATGGCAGTCAGGCTACCTCTGGCGAGCACATGGAGGGCTGTGCGGCCCCCCAAAGAAATGCCACCCCACACCATGACTGACCCACCGCCAAACCGGTCATGCTGGAGGATGTTGCAGGCAGCAGAACGTTCTCCACGGCGTATCCAGACTCTGTCACGTCTGTCACATGTGCTCAGTGTGAACCTGCTTTCATCTGTGAAGAGCACAGGGCGCCAGTGGCGAATTTGCCAATCTTGGTGTTCTCTGGCAAAAGCCAAACATCCTGCACGGTGTTGGGCTGTAAGCACAACCCCCACCTGTGGACGTCGGGTCCTCATACCACCCTCATGGAGTCTGTTTCTGACCGTTTGAGCAGACACATGCACATTTGTGGCCTGCTGGAGGTCATTTTGCAGGGCTCTGGCAGTGCTCCTCCTGCTCCTCCTTGCACAAAGGCGGCGGTAGCAGTCCTGCTGCTGGGTTGTTGCCCTCCTATGGCCTCCTCCACGTCTCCTGATGTACTGGCCTGTCTCCTGGTAGCGCCTCCATGCTCTGGACACTACGCTGACAGACACAGCAAACCTTCTTGCCACAGCTCGCATTGATGTGCCATACTGGATGAGCTGCACTACCTGAGCCACTTGTGTGGGTTGTAGACTCCGTCTCATGCTACCAC